ACACACACACACACACACACACACACACACACACACACACACCCGCGCACGCACACGCACGCACGCACGCACCACGGAGGGAGACACGCATGCAAATGTGCAAGCCTAGGAAATTCTTTAGTTATTTAATCTACCTGTGAGAATAACACCATTCGAAGGCATTGTCAACAATCACAGGTACAGGGACAAATCCCAACATCTTATCAAGTCATTCATTTGGAACACTTAAATGTGGGAGCAATTGATTCCCTGCAGCTTATACTGTGTGAATTGTAGGAAGAAAGTACTACAGCTGCTGGGCTCTGAGTTAGAATTGCTAATAAATTGACTTAACACCCAGTGCAGGGGTGGGGCCAGACGAAAGTTTGGAAGTGGGCAGGGCAGAAGCATAACGAAGAGTAAAGAGAAGATGAGGACTTTAATTAAGCCACCTGCTTCCTCTGTGCATGTTACTGGCCTGAAGCTCTAGTGTCAACTTTTGTCAGAAACTCCTAGGCAATGGTCACAATATCAGAGACTCCCAGACACAGCTGGTCATATGTTGTGGTTTAAGTACCAGAACAGCTACAAGAGTAGTGTTGGGGGAAGAAATCTGTGTCACATCCTTCTTAAGTCCAAAGGCTGTCCCCCCTTTCCATATGGGGGTCTTTTAAATTTCTTTACAAGCACACACACACAAGCATACACATGCACACGCACTCACAAACTCCTTTCCAACACAGTTGTCTTTGACACCTAATCAGCCGTGAGAATGAGCAGGTTTCGCTGATTTAATATTTTGAGAGAATCGTGATTACTTTGTTCTCCTTAGGACAACAGGGAATAAAAGGTTAATAGCTTGAACAAGGAGCATGAAAAGCATCCCCGCAGATCGAAAGTGATAGCAATGTCAATTAGTGTGCGTGGCAGGCATCATTTGCCTGCAAAGATTTTGTCCCCAGACAGGGAAATGACCCAGGATACATGAGTGGTTGAACCACTCCAAGCTGAGTTTTCTTGTCTTTTACAATGAGAACATGGCTCAAATTTGCCTTCAAGGTCCCTGCCGACTTGACTCTCAACTTTGATGTTCAGAAGCCTGTCAGCAGTGTTAGTGAGTTCATTTGTGTTCATTATTTTCAGGACGGTAGGAAGACCCGGCCTTACATTTTAAGTCTCTCTGAGTCCATTGTGCTCTCATCAAACTAAGCACAAAGACAACAGCATGCCCAAAACGTAACCTAGTCCCCGTTCTCTTTCTGCCAAATGCCTGAACCTGTTGAAACAGGTTGCTAGATCCAGCTGAATTTTTGGTATTTCTAGGAAAATGAAATGGATATGTCCACAAGGAAAGAGAATATTTTAGAAAAATTAGCAAGCTGAAATTAAAGATATTCTTCCCTCCACTTTTATGATCTCAATTTCTTATTAATTTAAATTAGTAATCATAAGATGATTTTTGAGATTTTTGTTGTTTTGTGCCTTAAATGAAGTCTCCCCAAGTAATCCTGATTGACTTGCACTCACTGTGTTGCCCAAACTGACTCAAACTCTCTGTCCATCTGCTCCAGCCTCCCAAGAAGAGGCTGGAATCATAGACCACACCACTGTGTCTGGCTTACTTTTGTAAGCTTTACAATCTAGAATCTGCTTGTTTGGGAACCATGGGTTGTTTCTATAGAATGATTTAGACATCCTAAGACTGACAGCCATAGAGGGCTGTGAACTCTCACTGCCATGGGGCAGATAGATGTCCCAGTCACAAATACTGCTTGGTCAGATGGGAGTAAAAGCAAATAACATAGTGTCCCAGAGTTCCGGGTTGCACCAGTCTGTTCTTATTTTCATGTGGAAGGCTGAAACCACCCACAAAATATACTTTCAACCACTGAAAAGCAAACAGTACAAGATGCACATTTGATTATGCGGACTAGCTCCCGATAGTGGGGAAAACAAAACTTAGCACAAGGCTGAGAAGAGGGGTATGATTTTCTGGATGGCACTTTCATCAAAGGCTGATTGCCTTTCATCCTAACGAGGGAGAAGGAAAAAAGGCTTGCCAGACAAAAGCACTGAGCCTTAGAGTCTTTCTTGTCTGGAGTTGGAAATTGCCTTACAATTTCTCATTCGACCATTGTGAGAACACAGAAAGCCCATCTTTCGGATAGTTTTAAGTCCCTGGAAATGCCGTCCCTCCCATTATGCGCAAAAGCAGATTGATGCAGTTTTACACTGGAAATTACCTTTGCATAATCAAATCCATGCTTTTCTTTGATGCCGTTGCGACAAACAGTGTAATTATAGAAACGAGAATTCTTGATTAATCCAAGCCATTCTCGCCACCCAGGAGGGATGTAGCTGCCATTATATTCATTGAGGTATTTTCCAAAAAAGGCTGCAATGGGAAACAAAAGATTATTTTTCTCATGTGAGATGATTAATCATAAACAAGTGCAGAGATATGAAATAAGGGCTGGAAAGGTGACGGTGGAGTGAAAATTCATCGAGGAAAGCACTGTCAAAGCACTCCTCTGCATGTTCTTCAGGCCCTGCCAAAGTGACAGTCACTCTCTTTGTTTTTGAGTAAATGTAAGCAGAACTGAAATACATGGATTATAATGACCATAACACTTTCGGGGATCTGCCTCTTAGGGCCAGCCTGGAACAGGCAGAATATATTCTTTTGTTCTGAATGAGCTAGATAACAGGTAGTGGGAAATTGGGTGTGTGATTGATGTGTGTGCAGTGGAACACCGAGAGCTAGTCTTCATGACAAATTAAGTCTTTTTGTTTTTTGAGTGATGAATCAGGAAAACTTCACTGAAAAATTCGTCTTGCTTTTCACATGGCCACATAGCAAAACTTTCCCTAGTCTTTCAAGCCCCTCTTCACAGCACCTCAGCTGGCATTCTGGTTTCCATAACTCTTCCATAGCCACATCTGGTCTTGAATTAAGGCCAGAGAGCGCCCATTTCACTCAGTTCCATACCCCATAGTTCTAATACACCTTCCTCTCCTTCTAGTGACAGCCAGGTCCTTGAGGAAGTTTTGTCCCTTTTGATAGAAACTTTCTACTTTGTGAGTTTTTTTTCTTGTTTTATTATTATTTATTTATTCATGTATATAAGTATGTATTTTTGGAGGCAGGGTCTGGCTATGTGGCCTAGGCTTGCCTTGAACTGTCAGTCTTCTTGCTTTTGTTTCTTTGTCTGCCTCCCAGGTGCTAAGATTATAAGATTATAGCCATGAATCTCCATGTCCACCTTTGCCTCACATTGTGGCCTGCCCACAATCCTTGTACAGTACAGGGTTCCACCAATATTTCTTACACTAAGCCTCATGAACCTAGTATATTCCAGAGATTTCACAAGTTCTGGAAATTTTTTTAAAAATGTATTTTCACTTTAATTGCAAATTTTAAAAGTTGATTTGTTTTTCTAACATATTTCTATAGCATATAGCTTTTTAATGTGTTTTAAATTGTTTTCTTTGAAAACAATCTGGACTTGAGTCCAAGAAACAGCACTCTGGGGCTAGAGAGATGGCTCGGTGGTTAAGAGCACTGGCTGCTCTTCCAGAGGTCCTGAGTTCTCAGTTCAGACAGGGACTGCTCTGGGAGCCTGTGCCTAATAAACTTGCACCCTACTCTCTCTGACTGCCTCCTCATCCCTAGGGGCTTGCCCAACTTTTCTGTCCTTTTGTTTTCTAAGAGTTCTGTAAAAGAACATAGTACCTGGCATGTGTGGTTGAGAGCCAGCTTCCCAGGTATGTGCTGGCTAGCTCACTTCTTCCTTTCTGCACTGCCAGGCGAACCTGCTTGGGCGCAGCATAGTGGCTGGGGTGTTGTGGGGGGGCAAAGAGGCTGATCAAGAGGGAAAGCACTTCAGTGTTTGACAAGTACAGGGGACTTCTCATGCCATGGTTAAAATCACCATGATTCTGTGGTTTGAGGATACCTTAGTCTATAGTTATGCTTTGTTACCAGTTTTTTTTGGTTTAGTTTGGTTTTAGTTTTAGTTTTGTTTTTTGTCCTCCAGTATGACTTACTTTGTAGAACCCAGTTCTCTCCCATGTGGGTTCCATTTTCCTTAATTAATTTTAAAGCTTTTCAATGCTACTGTTAGTGCTTCCCACCTCTAGGGAAGCCATGCCCAATGATGCCTGCCTTCCCTCATGGCTGCACTTTTTAGGTCACCTTGTAGCATTTCTAGCCATTACCATGGTGACTACCCTTCCTTCACCTTAATCCTTCCCTTGCCTTAATCCTTCCCTTACAAACAACTCCTTCAAGTCTACTAATTGCTCTTGCTATTGCCTTTAGAAAGGCTTCCAGGTTTTCAGTGTCTTTGCATTAAGGGAGTGTGAAAAATGTAGTCAGGATTCCAGATGCAGTGTCACCCACCCCGTTTACTACAGGAGAGCCCAGGCCCAGGAGGCAGCACCCAGAGTAGGCAGCACAAGCTCTTCTGATCCCTTTGGAGCTTCCTGCCACCGAGATAATCTCTAATCATCCCTGGTTGCTTTGGACTTTACATTTCTTGGCCGTGCTCTGATCATCTGGGTTTCCCATAATTCTGTTCCATGTACACTGTTCATGATGCCTTTCTCTAAAATGAACTTGATTTTCAGGTCAATATTACCATGCCAATGGTTTGGTCATAAGCACTGAATTTTATCCCCCCTGCCCCCTTTGCTGATGGCAGTTCAACTCAGCTAGTGCTGTCAGAACTACCCCGAATCAACCAACCTTCTGGACCATCCTTTTCTTTTATGACATCACCACTTGCCTTTCCTGCTGTTTAGGGAGGTGGTTGGAGTTGGAAGATGGGTAGAGAGGTAAGGAAGATTGGATTATGGATTATAACTATTAGTTTGTGTGTGGTTGTAGTTCCCCTCTCTAGGACCACAGACTGCATCACACTTAGAAAAATGTGTATTAACTATCTGAAGAAAAGAGTTTTCTTTTTATATCAGTAATAGGAACTATAAAATGATCTGATGGTTAGAGAAATTTAATTTTGCTTAGTAGAGTGAATGATGTATTCATGGCCATTTTAATACCGGTGGCAGGATTTCATTGTAGATACTATAGATATAATTGAGAACCAGGCTAGATTGTGATTTATACATTTGTATATATGAATCTGGTTTACTCAAATAGAGTGCAAACATGTTAATGACAACACTCTTTCTGTCTCTTTTTATCCCAGGCTC